AAATATTCCCTGCAAGGTACAGATGTGTTATGCATCGCATGCTAGCCCATTGTGTAAAACTTGCCTTCAAATGAAGCCCTCCAGCGGAGCGCAGTCAACTCTGTAGAGGCTTCCTTCCTCACCCGCTCTTCCTTCCGGGTTTGTGTGCTCTGTCCATAGCATGCACACAGGAGGCTCAGGACACGGCACAGTAGTCTGAAGGAATGGCCCGGGTATGCTGTTTCTTCCGAGTGCATGTGTCGGCTGCTAAAAAACTTGGACTATCTCCTAAACGGTGCACATTTATCCTGGTTAACGTGTCTGCGTTCCTGTGGCCTGCGTTTTGCGCGGGCAGGCGAGCCCATTCATTTGAATGGACTCCCGTGCCCCAGGACACACAGGGAAGAAGTCCCATGCACTTCTGAAAACGCAGCCCACACAGGAACCTCGGTTCCCAGTACGGTTGCGATTTCCATTGTGGGGCGGCATGCCATTAGAAGTAATGGCACCTACCCGCAGGTCTGTATTCTGTGTGGGTGGTGTGGCTGCACGGATTTTTGTGTGGATCCACAGCGGCATCACCCGCACATGTGAACCTAGCTTTAGGAGATATTCATTTTACCTACAGGAAAGCTTTATTATAAGCTTAGCTGTGAGTAAAAAGATACAAAGTGGGTTTACTATCACATTAAGGTAAGCTTCACATAATGTGCTGGTATGCAATGCCTACTACTAGATTATGACATTGCCTTGTAGGGGACATTTTTATATTATCAGGTTTACTACCACTTTAAAGTATAACTAGAGGCAAAGCTTCCTCCTTTTTTTTTTTTTTTTTTAAGTTTGGGATAGAGTGGAGAGGGATTAGAATAACTGTCAGTTTTTGTGTTTTTTTTTTTTTTTTTTTTTTGCTGTCTGTGCCACCATTATCTCTTTTTTATTTGTCCTGTTTACCATTATCACTGACAGTGAAAGTAAAAGAAACCCCACATTTTGGGTTGTCCCCCCGGAAATGTCAGAGTGGACATCTTCCAATGGGGGACACTAGTTTTATGACCGGGGGTCCCCAAGGAATTCCCTTAATTTGTAGGGATTTCCTCTCACTTCCTGTTTGTCTATGGGACAGGAAGCAAAGGGAAATCTCCACAATGGGACAAAGAGAGCAAAAAGCCCCCCAAAAAACTATCCAAAATGGAAAAAAAAAGTTTTGCCTATAGTTCTACTTTAACCACTTGCCTACCGGGCACATTTACCCCCTTCCTGCTCAGGCCCCTGCAACACTACCCAAACACAATTTTTATAGGTTTTTTTTGAGTTAGAGCTTTCCTTTGGTGGTATTTAATCACCACTGTGTTTATTTTTTTGCTAAACAAACTAGAGACTGAAAATGCTGAGAAGAAAAAAGTTTTTTCTTAGTTTCTGTTATAAAATATTGTAAATAAGTAATTTTTCTCCTTCACTGATGTGCGTTAATGAGGCTGCAGTGATGGGCACTGATAGGTGGCATTGACAGGAATCACCGATGGGCACTGAAAGACAGCACTCATATATGGCAATGACGGGCACTATGTGGCGTTGATGTGCACTGGTAGATACTGATGTGGCATTGTGTGCTGATATTGATTGATGTGCACTGATATGTATTGTGTGCATTGCATTGGGCACTGATGACAGGTGGCACTGATATGTGGGATGTGCACTGACAGGTGGCACTGACACTGATCATCCGTGCCTTGATGATCAGTGTGGATGTCCCCTCTAATAAATAACGATCACCGGCTCTCCTCGCGGTGATCATTTTCATTTGATTGCAGTGTTGTATGACCGCGCAATTGTCCGCTAAAGTAACGCAGTGCCGTAATGCAAAAAATGTCAGGAACAGGGGGGGGGGGGTAAATCCTCAGGAGGGCAAGTGGTTAAAGCAGAATTAAGGTGCACAAGGCTTACATCAGTTTTAGCAGCACAATGCCTGCAAGGTCCTCCATTGGCATCTTCCAGGTGCCAGTCTTCAGCTGTTTTGATTGGCCGGTGTCAATCCTGCACTTGCGCAGAAGTTCATTCTGACGCACAGGATCTGTGCTAGAATATAACTGAACTGTGCATGTGCAGCGCCCTGTACCTTCTTCAGATAAATTAAGCAAGTAGAGTAATTTTATTGTATGTCTTCTCTGCTTTAAAGAGGCTGCCTACTCGGTTTTGTTTTTTATTTGGAACATTGCCTTGTAGTTCTCCCTGGTGCCACCCTGATATGAGCCCTCCCAGTTCTTGTTCTGTGTATGCTTGGAGGTTATGCATTGGAGGCACAGTGTGTCCGGGGTCTCTATTATGCTTGTGGGGGGGGGGGGGGGGGGGGGTACATGTGCAGTGTGAAAGGTGGGCAAGGAATCATGGGATGTAGTCTCAAATCATCTCCAGACCAGGTTTTTCTTATTCTGTACAGACTTGGGTGCCATGTATAGGGCACATGTGGTCAGTCATTGGCAAGGCACCTGACCCACTCAGGTGCCATGTGCAGCATGACCAAGGTCCTTATTGTGCTTGGTGTCTACATGTGCAGGACAGGTGGGCAAGGAATTATGGGATATTTAGTCCCAACACATATAACACTTGCATAGTGTGTGGTCCTGGACAGGTCTTTTGCGCTCTGAGAATGCTCAGGCAGCATACATAGTGTGCGCAGGGTCCTTAGTGTTGTGCCTACTCGGGCAGGAAGACATATTTTATGGGAGAGGTCAATAGGGTCTTTTGTGTCATAAAAACCGTATGTTGTTTTTTTTTTTTTTTTTTTTTTTTTTTTTTTGCTATATAAAATTCTACTTTAATGTGACACATTGTAGTGTGTTACTCTGCGTTTAATTGCAGCAAAATGAGCCATTTTCTTATTCAATGTAAAATTTTTATCTAGTTTAAAATATGTAATGTAGGCAAGTACATACGCATGCCTAAAGTGTCACTAAAGTACATACGCATGCCTAAAGTGTCACTAAAGTACATACGCATGCCTAAAGTTTAAAGGTTTTTTTAGTAGTACTGGATAGATTGGAGAGGGATTAGAACATCTGTCAGTTTTTATTGCTGTCTGTGCCTCATTAGGAAGACTCATCCTCTCTGTCCTGTTTACTGTTCTCCATGAAAGTGAAGTAAAAAAAAAAATACCAAATTTTGGGTTGACACAAGAACAGGAATAAAGGGGAAATCTTCTCATGGGGACACTATTTCTGGGGACACCCTAGAATTCCCCCACTTTGAAGCGATTTCCTCTCACTTCCTGCTTTGACGTGTATCTGTTGGTGAGACTGCATTTCAGCTTGTCAGGATGGTGTGAGTGGGCCCCTAGTCATGTAAAGATTTGACTTCTTGGGAATCTCTAGCTAGTTTGGAGTTGGTGTTTAGGTGCGTCTTGCAGCTATACTTTTGTTTGTTTTTTTGCATTGTTCCTTGTGCTGTAATAAAGCGCATTATGGCTATGCACGGTAACATGTTGCTTATGTGGGTTACAGTTCATTTTTCATTGCTCCCCACTGCACAAATATCGTGTGTTCTAGTATGTGGCAGATGTGTTTTGTACAGGATCTCGTTTGTGTGATTGGGGCACTTTGAAAACACACAATAATGTGTCATTCTTTGCAAAAATCCAAACCTTAGTGAAATGTCATGGTGGTCCTGCGTCTGCTTATTTATATTTGTTGCCTCATCTTTAAAGGATAAGTTCACCTTTGGTAACATGTTACACTCATAATTACAATCAAATCGGCCCACTGCCCCCGCTGTGACATGAAGGGGGGGATCTTCTTCCTTCACGCATGCTGTCAAATTTTTAAAAATCGCAGCCATGCGGGGCTCAGACACTCATTCATAGTCCTCTGTGAATGAGACTACAAGTCCCGGCGCTGTGGAGCGACGCGGTAGTTCATACATTCTTCCTGTCAGTATATCTGCTTGCCCGTACATCCCATATGGGCAAGCTGACATACTGACAGATCTGTAGGAGACCTGCATGGCACCAGAAATCTGCTGATCACTAGTGCAGTGGTTTACAGGCTTCTGCAGACAAAAATAATGCACTTTTTTTACCTGCAAAAAAAAGTGTATATTTTTTTACTGAAAGGTGAACTTATGCTTTAATTGTTGCTACTTAAAGCGGCGTTCCACCTTAAAAAAAAAAAAAAAAAAAAAAAAGTCAGCTTCAAAAACTGTAGCTGCTGACTTTTAAAATACAGACACTTACCTGTCCCTCGGACCAACGGTGTCCTCACCACCGCTGGTTTCACTGCAGTCTTCTCTCCCTGGCGCCGGCATCTTCAGTCTGGGCACCCGGCTGTGACAGCTTGCGGCTTTACAAGCCGGGTGCCCACTGCGCATGCATGAGAAGCGCTTCACTTTGTGAATGGCCCTGTAGTCTTCTGGGACCTGTCACGTGTCCCAGAAGACTACGGGGAGGGAGGACAACTTCCGCTTCTGATCATAAATAAAATTTATGCCATGAGGTGCTATGTTGAGCTTCCAGTGACCAGTATGAGAGAGTGAGAGCGATAACACCAAGTTTAACATACCTGCTCCCCATTCACACCTGAGACCTTGTAACACTTATAAGTCACATGACACCGGGGAGGAAAAATGGCTAATTGGCCCAATTTGGACATTTTCACTTAGGGGTGTACTCACTTTTGTTGTCAGAGGTTTAGACATTTTTGGCTGTTATTATTTTGAGGGGACAGCAAATTTACACTGTTATACAAGCTGTACACTCATTACTTTACATTGTAGCAAAGTGTCATTTCTTCAGTGTTGTCACATGAAAAGATAGAATGAAATACTTACAAAAATGTGAGGGGTGATTCTGTACTGTATAAACACCCAATACGGTGCCTTACTGTAGTTTCTGCTTTTGGCCAGTCAGCTACTTGCTGGTTTCTAGTCTGTCATTTAGATTTTCAAATTGTCTAAATGAGAACACCCAAAGGACTTGTAGTCTGTAAGAATATGTCAGGAACTGTTGCTTAATTTTGTGTCTCTTGCAGGGAGTAGATATCCGTCACAACAAAGACCGCAAGGTGCGGCGAAAAGAGCCCAAAAGTCAGGATATCTATCTGCGACTTCTGGTTAAGGTCAGTAACGTTTGTACTTTTGTTTTTTTGCTGGCCAGCAGTAATTTTGGTATAGACAAAGCTGAACCTTTTTTTTTTTTTTTTTGCTATTCCCAGTTATACCGTTTCTTGGCCCGTCGTACAAATGCCAGCTTCAACAAAGTGGTTTTGAGACGTCTGTTCATGAGCCGCACCAACAGGCCACCACTGTCTCTGTCCCGTTTGGTAAGAATTGAAAATGCCTTATGATGGATGGTTGTGAGGGAAAATGATTTATTTATATTTTCACTTTGAGCATTTGGAATTTTATTTTAGTTGTGTTTTTTTTTTTAAGGTCAACAGCAAGAACAGGCCTAAACCCACCTACACTTTCACTGCAGCTTTTTTGCTCCTTCTACACAAAGCTTACAAACACTTACGAATTTGTCTCTGGGGTCCTACCAGCCTTTTAACCAATACTTCTGGGTCTGAGCCAAGTCTAGGAGTGTGTGCAGCAAAGGCTTCTGCCTGAGCAGCCATTTGGTGCCTTTGCCTCACTTAGATCCCAAGCCTCACCACTGTTTGGACCTTGAAGTATTGAAGAAATAGGTGGTAGGTGAAGCTAGGGATGCCCCCCTCTGGCTATATCATATTTGAAGTCACCAGTTTAATTTTGGATATGGAGTAGAGAGATGTATGAGAGGAAGGTCATCCTGTTTCCTTTAGATTCACATAAATGTGGGAAACCAATCAACATTTTGTGGATAAGGCATGCTATCTGTCAAGAAATTCTCAGCATTTTATCCAACATTAAAAAAAAAAAAAAAAAAATAATAATAATTAAGTTCTGCTTAAAGTGATTCTAAAGGCTGAAGATTTTTTTACCATCATGCATTCAGCGTGCACCCCACCCTTCCCTAATCCTTACCTAAGCCGATCTCGATCCAGCACTGTGGACGAGAGCAGCACTTCTCCTGGGTTTCTCCCTCCTCCTTATTGACTCAGACAAAGGCTCCCGCTGCTGTCAATCACAGCCAATGAGGAAGGAACGGGGGGCAGGTCAAGCCGTACTCTGTGTGTCTTATAGACGCACAGAGGTAGCTCGGGAGAGTGCACACAAGTGCCTCCAGAGCAAGCAGCTTTCTCTAGGGGCACTCAGCAGAGGGGAGGAGCCAGGAACGCTTGTTTACAGACCCCAGAAAAGGAGGATTGGGACTGCTCTGTGCAAAAGCATATTTAAAAAAAAAAATCTGAACCTTTAGTACAGGGGTCCTCAAACTACGGCCCGCGGGCCACATGCGGCCCGCCGAGCACATTCATCGGCCCTGCCGGCAGGGGACACTAAGTACAGGGGCGGGCAGGGGGCTGCTGTCTCTTACCTGGCTCCGGTCCCAGTCCCACGACGATCCAGTCCAGGATGCGCTGCTCCTTCACTCTGGCCGCGCCCTCACTCGATGTCCACTGCTGCCGCTCAGCTCTGCCTCCTCACCGGTGATTGGGCGCCAGTACTGTAGCTCAGGAAAGGCACACAGGCGGCCAATCACTGGCGAGGAGGCGGAGCCGAGCGGCCCCGCGAAAATCAAGGGAGGGAAAGGCCGAAGTGAAGGAAGGAGGACAGCTGACCGCCCGGTAAGTGTGCCGTGCAGGTGGTACTGCTGCAACCAGGTATGCTGGCTGCAGCAGCACCATGCTGGAACAGGGGTCGGCTAGTTAAGTGTCATTGCTGTCAGTGGGAGAAATAGTGCCCCACCATTGGTGTCACTGATAACGATGGGGCGCTATTCCTCCCCCCACTGACACCAACGATGGGGCGCTATTTCCCCCACCCCACGATGACACCTGAACCAACGATGGGGCGCTGTTCCTCCCCCCACAAGATACACTTGGGGGGAAATGTCTGTGCGTCTTATAGAGCGGCCGGCCCAGTATTACCACCACCGTTGTATGTCCGCAGTCTTTGAACAAATGCAAACACAGTACAGGAGATGACCATAGTTTTTTTTTTTTTTTTCTTTTTTTTTTTTTTGTTTTTAAACTATAGGCCGGCCCTCCAACGGTCTGAGGGACAGTGAACTGGCCCCCTGTTTAAAAAGTTTGAGGACCCTTGCTTTAGTATCACTTGCAAGCTGACAAACAACTAATTCTATAGTTGAAATGTATACATGAGCTACTTTACCAGCTAAAGAGTTTGTAATTTTGTGCAAAATTTTCATGAGATTTACAGTCTGCCAGTTTGGTGACTGATGAGGGTTTCCGAGGGGAGCTTTTCAGGTCTTAATGATTTAATGAGCTGTAGGTTTAGTGTTGATATAGACTTATAGCTGTTCCCAAAACAAATGTTTTTATTCCTGATGACTTCCATCACTTCCCTTCTGACAGCATTAATTAGTGAAGAGGATGCGGGCAGCAAAAAATAGTTGCAGTTCTAACCCTTCTACAGTCCATGCAAAAATAATAAAGGAAAAAAAAAATGTCAAGAATTGGGCTTTAAAGAAAAAATCCCTTTTCATAAGGAATCTTAATAAATGATATTTACTTTGAATTATGTTTTTAATACTCTTGGGTGCAGTGCTTTTTATTTTACTTTGCTCTATTGTATTTGTCCATGCAAACATTTCATAGGTACAGTAACGAACACTTGCACCATTTTCTAGGTGGGCTCTGGATTGCTTTCTGTGTCTTGGTATTAACTATTGCTGATTCTTCTTTATTGTAATACATGCGGTTAAAGGTAGTGAGAAAATAGCTTTATAATTGCTGCAATTGGGAATGCAGAAGACCTCTTAGAGTGCAGTTCAAAAGCCAATTAAGGGGACAGTGGTTCATACAAGTTCCACTAAAGCATGAAATGTTTGGATTTGTTAGGGATCCAAATTCAGCTTGACCATATGTTAAATACCGACTTATTTATTTTAATAGATTCGCAAGATGAAGCTACCTGGACGTGAAGGCAAAACGGCTGTGGTGGTTGGATGCATCACAGATGATATCAGGATTCAAGATATCCCCAAACTCAAGGCAGGTGCACAGCTTCTGAATTATTACTTACATTTGCTTATTAGTTGCTGTGTATATACTGTATCTTTTTTTTCTTTTTTTTTTTTTTTTGCATAAAGTGGCTTGTGGTTAATTGAAACTTGAAATGAGTTAAGGGGCTGCTATTCTGAAAATATTGGTCACCTGGCTTGGGAATATCTGCTTTTAAGTTACTGACCCAGAGTAAAAATGCAGATTGAAATTGGATCTGCATAAGGTTTGAGTTAGTGACTTGGGCTTTCGGTCATAGTAGCTGCTTATCAGTTAAGCAACTAGCACTTTCAGAAGATGCGGTATACATTGACAACCTGCATATCTTATAAATAAATTTCACTCGTGACACATCTTTGGAATGATTTTTGCACTTGATATTAATTTTTCAAATTTATTTGCACTTCATATTGTCATTGATAATAGAACTGGGGTGCAGTTTGAGCAGCACTGTTATATTCGTTTCCATGGCGCTATGAAAAAATACAGGTTTACTCTGATGCCATGCGTGCAATCAGAATCTGTGATCTGAGTAAAGTGAACTCTAGTTGCTTTGTTGAATCGGCACAGAGCTGTTACATAAGCAGATGCAGCATCCAAAGTATCTGACATGTCAAAGTGTGTACGTTATTGGTGCTCAAAATGCAATATGTTTCCTGACCAATGTTGGTTTTCTAATGTAAGCAGCAAAAATGAAATGGAAGGGATTGTCCGCCCATACATGTCATTGTGAGTTGAGTCTTCCCTTCAGTTTTTGTATATTCAGCAAAAATATCTCTTCAATGCATTTCATGTTTTCTGCTTTTGGGGATTCATTGATGTTAATTGTAAAAAAGTAACAAGTGTGTATTTTTTTTTCCTCAGGTGTGTGCACTTAAAGTGTCTTCTGGAGCACGCAGGAGAATTCTTACATCTGGTGGACAACTTTTGACATTTGACCAGTTGGCTCTCGCTGCCCCTAAAGGCCAGAACACTGTTTTGCTTTCAGGTAATGACACTCCACTGGGGCACTACATTTTCACTCAATAGCTTTGAATGTAGTGTCATGTTTAGGCCCCATTCACACTAGTGTGTTTTTCTGATGCAGTTGTTGCACAGCGTTGCAAGACCGTGGAAATCACAGTATATTCTATGGCACTTGTTCACACCAATGCATCATTTTTTGAAAAGGTGCTTCTTTGGTGCAGTTGCAGCATGATTTCTGGGCTTCCACGTGTGGCTTGTTTTGTAGTGTTAAATCTATTTTAAAGGATCAGTATAGCAAAAAAAATTGTATTCTGGTAATTGTGGTTTAAGTGTGTGTCTAGACAATTTTATTCGTTTTGAAAAGGTAAACCTGTTTCCCGAGTCCCGGAAAGCAGTGTAATTAATAAGATGGGGACTGGACATATAATACCTGTTATGAACAGTGTTCAGTATATTTAATTTGACATAATTGAGACACTTGAGATTATTCAAAATATACTGACAAGTGCAGTTGACCTCCTGACTTGCTTTGGAGCTCCCTGCACTACAAGTGTTAAAGGCATTGTATTTATTTTAACTAGGTATTACTGTATAGGTAGCATATTTTGTGCTGCTTTGCATTTTGTAGTGATGGGCTCTTATGTTGGGGTTGCAGTTTGTAGTTTCATTGATGATCGATCCCCCTTTATCCAAATATTCATTCATTTAGCTTGTCCTTAGCTTGGTAAAGGGACAGGCAATGTCTTCTGGGTCACAGAGCATCCATGTCTTCACAGGAAGTGTCAGTTCTTAGATGACAAATGACACCGTAAAAGTACATGATCCATGCACATCTTTTGCAGGTGAACAACATAAGGTGCAGGCAGATAGGATTATAATGCCTTTTTAAATGCTTATGTTTATGTTTAGTGGGTAGAGTAACAGGCAAGTAATTTCAATGCATACAATTGTGGTGCAGTGCTGCAGGCTTTATAGAATTAAAACAGGTGGTGAGGAGGGGACTAATCGCCACCAAGTCACCTGTCCAGTACTCTCCTGAAAAGTAATCCACTGTGGATCACTTTTCAGAGGGAGACTTTAGTGTAAACAAGCCCCTTGATCAGAATTGCAACTGAGAGACTTCTTCTGTATGTCATTTTTTTTTTCTTTTGCCAACAGTTTTACTTTAACATGCCAATTACAGCCAGACATTAAAGTGGTAGTAAACTCAACATTTCTACTTTCATCCCTTGAACTAGTTAATAACCAATGTACCAGGTGTGTTGTCTTTACAATCTGTCCTATGCCATTCTACACAAACTGAGTGACCTTCATTCTAATGGGGTCACAAGCACATGCGCACTATAGCCACGATTCACGGCATGCTCTGTGCCATTAGTCCATACCATGCCCACGTCCTCCAGGCTCTCAGCGGTGCTGCATTGCAATTACGCGAGAGTACATCCCCTAAGCACCCCATGTGATTTGCTATGTCAAAAGGGGATGAAATGTAAAGCCGGTACAGCTGAAATCGAGTAATCAGGGCTATGTTTTCATAGCGACTGAGAATGAAAGCGAGGCTTGGCTAATTCACACTGCGCATGCGCGAGGCTACAGCTATCTTCATAGAGAGGGGGTGGAAGCCCTATGTAGAAAGGAGTCCTAAGATGGCATAGGCTTTGGCTGAGAGAGGCAGAAATGAAAGTAAGGGAGAAAAAATACTTATAATACAAGACTTTTCTTTAACCATTTGCCTGCCAGAGGATTTACCACCCCCCCCTTCCTGACCAGGCCACTTTTTGCATTATGGTGCTGTGTTACGTTAAATGACAATTGCGTGGTCATGCAACGCTGCACCCAAATTAAATTTCTGTCCTGTTTGGTGGCTGAATTTGTACCATGAGAGATGTTTGGGTAAACTCTTCAAAGGAAACTTATGAAAGATGCTGTGCAGTTGCTAGTTGCCTGGATATCCGCTAACTTCACTGCTTGCAGACTTGTTTTATTTACCCTGTTTTCAGGAGCACTTAGCACTGGCAGCCTGCAAGGTTTCCTTATAAGTGGAAATACATTAGTTCAGAATTTTTTTTTTTTTTTAATAGCAAGTTTTCTTGTAAATACTATAGACCCAGCAAATCAACTGCATTCAGATATATTTTACAGAGCGTATCCAAAGACACAACTTTATGTCAATTCCAACCTCTTTATTTCCAGAGGCCTGTTCTACTAACCTGTGTAATCTTTCTTTCAGGTCCTCGCAAGGCACGTGAGGTGTACAGACACTTTGGAAAGGCACCTGGTACTCCACACAGTCACACCAAGTGAGTTGACTAAGCTAATATATAGTAAAAAAAAATAATTTCGCCTGTTCAGAGGAAAGTATAAGGTCCAGTGGATGGGTAGAAACCTGCTCTTTGCCCCAGATCCACCAGTGTGTCCAGGTTTGGGGAAAGATGATGTACTCTCTTGCCTCCCACAATTCAAGGAGGATAATTCACTGTAAGCTCTGACCCAGAACTAAAAGTAGAATTAAACTTTTTTTTTTTATGCATGCATTTAAGCAATACATAATCTTTTTTTAAGTGTGCCCAAACACTTGCATATCGCTAGGATCACCAGCTACCAATGAGCATTCTCAATATAGCAAGTCACAATGGACAGCAGCTGTCCATTTCATGGTTTTGAGGAGACCAGAGGAGAGGCATGGCTTGCTCATCCTAAAGCGTTTTTGGCACGCTAGTCTCATGTCGAAAGCGAATAGGTTACAGAAATTCTCGTAAGACAGAAAAAAAGTTCAGAAGTGTAATCTATTCTTTAGCTTCCGAGAATGCATGGTCTTGGTCATTTTGTTTCTTCATAAAAATACTATATTAATTACATGAGAGTCGTTCATTCTGTTATATTACTAGAAAAATGTTTGTCCCTTTTGGATATTTTGAACTGTCATGTTTGGCTCTCAAAAGCTGTGTACTAACGAATAGAATATCAGATGATTGCTCCTAAAGTGTGTTTTTCGTCCGATTTCCTCATGTGCACTAGGCTTAAGGCTTTGGGACTGTTTGTGGATACATGCGGCTCTGGCCAGGAGTATGCACAGAAAGGTGTCTTCGCAGGTCCCTGTTAGGGACTGGACATGCCCTGAATAGGGAGAACTGCACTAGTATTGAGTGGTCCACAGATATAATCTAGTGGATGGCAACACTGCACAAACAAAACAAGCATTGAATTGTGCAAGTCTTCACCCCAATAGTAGGAATTGGGGGGGGGGGCTAAAGTTTAATGTCGCTTGTAACAGGTTTTAGGGGGGTGAGAAGGGAAAGCATGTTTACTAGCCAGGAAACCTATTAACTTTGCCATAATTCTTTGTTTGCTATGCAACTGTTTCTCTTACAACTGTGGTGTGTGTTTTGTTTTTAAAGAGAATTGTTGGCTGGAAGTCTACTTTAATTTCCTGCATATATATTTCAACGTAAAAGGGTAGCTGTGGCTTTTTAAAAAAAAAAAAAAAAAAACTACCGTATGCATTAAGTAGCCATAGCTGTCCTTTTGGGTACAGATATGTATCTGTGTGGCCTTCATTCAAGCAGTTACCCAGATGTTTATAGAGAAAAGTCTTCCAAACTGTTGATCAGCAATGACACACAAGTCTGGTATTTAGACCACCAAATCTTCATCAGAGATGAAACACAGAGGGGAATGTACTAAGATAAGAGCAGCAAGAATCTGGAGCAGCCGTACATAGTAACCAGTCAACTTCTATCTTTCATTTTCAAAATTCAACTAGGTTATTTAAAGCCTATGTTTTCTAGTTAAAAAAAACAAAAAAAAAACAATCAGCATAAGGGATGTTACTTACGATCAGTGTGATGTGTCCCTTGTGCTGCTATCTCCTGGTCTAGTGGAAATCGTTCTCTGATCACCACCACCACCACCTTCACTGCTGTAATCTTTCAGTGCAGCGGGGGTTAATAGAGCTGAGGGAGCTGTGACAGGTACTCCTTAACTATGTCTGCCCTCCATGACTATGTCTGCCCTCCATGACTATGTCTGCCCTCCACTCCCTCCCACATTCATAGAAGCTGTACTGTAGGGGAGGTGGACCCTTCATAGATCCATCTGTCCTCCACTCATTGATCTGTGATAGTATAGCATTGTCTGCATTCTTGATGAGTGCCTGTCACCGCTCCCTCAGCTCTGTAAATTAGAAGGGATGCAGAGGAGGAAGTTTTCTACTAAACCAGGAGACATCAGCACAAAGGACACATCACATGGATAGTAACATCCCTTGTGCTCAGATCATTTTTTTTTTTTTCTCCCACTTTAACATGACTACACTATCTATATGATTTTTGTTGAACTTGCCCAAACTAGAACTGGGTTCAGCAAGTTGCTGAAAGCTAGCTAAAAGCTTTGTAAATGCATTGTAAAATATTGCCGTATACACAGCTCTTATACAAGCCATAGCCTGTATGTACAAGCCCTTGCAATTTCTACAGAGAAAAGTCTTGCTGCCTACCTTCCTCTTTCTGCCTTCTCTGCCATTCACAGAACTTACTACACTCCCACAATGCATCATGCTCTGTGCCTGGACAATGGAATCCTGTTCAACTGCTACACCACCTGATTGCGATGCATTGTGGGAGTGTAGTGACACCAGTTTTGTGAATGACCGAGAAGGCAAAAAACCCTAAACCTTTAGCTTTGCAGGTGTATAAATATATTCAAATATCCCATTAAGTGATCAAATATTGAGTACATAAAATGTGTACAATAGTGAAGAAACAAAAGTGCAACTGCACCCACAAAAAAACACACATGGATGACCACATTCGGATGAAACACTTGTGCTGATATTTGTGTGAACACGTGGCTGAGTGGTTGACAGACGATAATTCGACCACCGGCTAGATCAGCCTCTCACCTCAAAACTTTGACCCTTGCAGGTCAAAGAGCTCGATTGGATCCCTCTCATAGATCCTCCAAGTCTGCTGTCACTCCCACTGCATCAGCTCCCACCGCTCACAAACCTCCCTTTAGGGGTCAGCACACCAATAATGGCTCCTCTCCAGGCAGGGTCAAATACTGCCTGGAGAGGAGCCATTATTGGTGTGCTGACCCCTAAAGGGAGGTTTGTGAGTGGTGGGAGCTGATGCAGGGAGTGACAGCAGACTTGGAGGATCTGTGAGAGGGATCCAATCGAGCTCTTTGACCTGCAAGGGTCAAAGTTTTGAGGTGAGAGGCTGATCTAGCCGGTGGTTGAATTATCGTCTGTCAACCACTCAGCCACGTGTTCACACAAATATCAGCACAAGTGTTTCATCCGAATGTGGTCATCCATGTCTGGGTTTTTTTTTTTTTTTTTTTTTTTTTTTTGGACATTAAGAGCACAGAGAGTTTTTTGTTGGGTGCAGTTTCACTTTTGTTTCTTCACTATTGTACACATTTTATATACTCCATATTTGATCACTTAATGGAGTATTTGTAGTTTTATGTGTGTATTAATATACACGTTTGCTCACATTTTATAAATTGTTTCATGAGTCAATTATTGTTTGAATGAGATTATATATATTCCTACTGCTGGAATTAATTTTTCAACTTCACTGTTGAGTGTTTTTGTGTCCACATAGAGGAGTGTCACATGGTATTTGTTACTTATTATCATTTTTGATTATGTGGCATGTTTTCACTTAAATTTTCACTATAATACATATTATATGAATTTTTTTCCCCACTTATATATTATATTTTAATTTATATTTTTTATTTAGTAGTTTATGGGAGTAGCGCTACATTCCTCCATGCAATTGTTGTACATGATCATTGGTATATGATTCAATGTTAGCAGCAGCTCCCAATTAGGTTGCTTACACTAATAGTGTTTGAGCGCAGGAGGTTCACACCATTATAAATAAATATATTGGTATTTCAGCTTCACCTTCTAAATAATATTTTTTTTTTCTCCCCTCTTAGACCCTACGTTCGTTCTAAGGGTAGAAAGTTTGAGCGCGCTAGAGGACGTAGAGCAAGCAGAGGATACAAGAACTAAATATCTGTGCTTTGTACTCAATAAAGATGTTTAATCTTGATAATCTTCTTGGTTTTTATTATGACATTGCTGTGGATGCTGAATCTTTTCTAAAACCCAAAATGCACATCTCTTCATTTTTGTCTTTCGAGATGGAAATGTTTTGCGTGTACTGTGACTACTTGTAGATGAATTCTAAATGGTTGAACCGGAGAACTGGTACAGATGTATGGCAAAAACAGTGCTTCTACATAGTGAGCCCTTGAGTGAAAATGATGGTTATAGCAAGTTCATATCTGGTACCAACAGGATGCTCTGTTATGTGAGAATCCAATTCCTGTAGACAAGTTTGTGTATATGTAGAAGGCTCCATGCACACTGGGCGTTTCAACAACGCTGGTAGCATTAGCTGTGTAAAGTCGCATTAAAAACATAAGTTCAGTGGTTTTCTACATTTTATGTTTTTAGCATTTTTACACAAAATTAAATGAATTACTCAAATGCCCAAAAACGCCAGTTTGCAGCGTTTTGCTGTTAGTGTTTTTACAGTTAAAGAAAACTCTAGAAACCTAATTCTGGGGTTATTTTCCAGCCAAGAAAAGCTGATTAAAGCCTATGTGTGCATGGACACATAGAATAACATGCTGGGGAGTTCATTGTAGAAAAAAAAAAAACACCAAAAGCAGCTGTAAAAAACGTCCAGTGCACATGAGGACGAAAAGTAAAACACACATCATACCAATGATGAAGAGATATTGGTGAATGTTGGAAATTGTGCCGGTGAATCATTTGCGGACCTTAAAACTAAACATGCTGGGAATGTTATTTATGATTTTTATAAATATGCTGCAAAGGTTTACCTACTATTGAGGGCCTTGACAATTGTTTCCAATTCTGCAATCAGTCACTGTGTTTTGTTTTTTCTTTCCCTTTTTTTGGTTACTCACAATCTCCCTACAGTTCAGTACTAGTGAAGTTTGTGTACAAATAGGGGACTTCTAGCAGCAATGTGTTTCCTTGAACAGGAAACGTGCTGAGAGAAGAGCAGACTACCTTTTGCTAACTTCTGTTTGAAAACTTCAGTGGGACTCTGTCCTGTTGGTTTCACCACAGAGATGTTGATCTGAAACAAATGAGATCAGGACTTCATTCTGTCCTCGCTTGCTTTACTTCAGCCAGTGGCTCGAATTCTAGGAAAACCTCTAAATGCACAGTTGAAATTCATATGCAATGTTTACTGTTTTATCTTCCAAAATATTTTCAATTCTGTACTTATACTTTAACTGCTTTAGTGCCGCCCTATAGCAGAAATACTGTTACAGGGGCGCCCTCGGTTGTCAATCACTGGGTCCTGGCCGGTGATTGTTGATTATTACCGACGGGGGAGAGACCTGTGTATAAACACAGATCTCTCCTCTGTCGCTGATCGCCGCCATTACTAGAAAAAAAAAATTCCAGTGTGTGTATATATACTGCCATTTGTAAACCCTAACTTTCATGTAAACCAATTAATTTACACATATTGGCATTTTTTTTTTCTAGCAAAGACATGTAGCGGAATACATTTTGGCCTAAATGTATGCCTAAATTAGATTTTTTTATTTTATTGGATATGTGTAATAGCAAAAAGTCAAATACCTGTATAGCTCAGGAGTTTTACAGCATTCCGGTGCACGTCTGTGCAGAAAAAAATGCAGCATGTTGTACATTTTTTTTCTCTGCAACCATAACGCACTGGAACTGCAAGCACTGATATGAACAATGACATTGACATCCATCTAACCTTCTTTCTGTGCGTTTTGGATGCAGGAAAAAAAAGCAACTGAAACGCATGTAATATGAACTGGCCCTACAGGCGCTTTCACACATCTCCGGTGTGGCTTTCCAGCAGCATGGGTGCACCGCAGTGTACTCGCGATTTCACATAGCCTTTAACCACCTCCCGCCCGCCATATAGTAATATGATGGATGCAAGGTGGTTCTCTCGTTCTGGGAGGATGTCGTATGTCATCCTCCCATTCTCACCGCGCATGTGCGGCTCCCGGAGCGTGGCGATCGGCGGTGCGCTGTGTCCCTCGGACATAGCATCACCGATCCACGGAAAGAGCTGAAGATGTCGGCTCAGTCGTGCTCAGCTGTGTCCAATCATAGCTGATCACATGTAAACAGGGAAATGCCGGTTATCAGAATTTCTCTCCTCTCGAGCTGTCACGCTGACAGAGGAGAGGAGAGCCGGTAATCGGCATCCCTCAGAGTGGACATGTACCACTGATCATCAGGGCACTGATGATCGGTGTAGCCCCAGCAGTGCCACCGGTCAGTGCTCACCAGTGCACATCAATGCCACATATCAGTGCCCATCTGAGCTGCCTTTCAGTGTCACCCATCGCCAGTCAGTGCCATATATCAGTGCTGCCTGTCAGTGCCATCCTCATGTCAATGCCCTCATCAGTGCACATCACTGCAGCCTCATTAGCGCACATCAGTGAAGGAGAAAAATCACTTATTTACAATATTTTATAACAAAAACTAAGAAAACTTTTGTTTTCAAAATTTTCAGTGGTTTTTGGTTTGTTTAAGAAAAAATAAAAAATCCCAGAGGTGATTAAATACCACCAAAATAAAGCTCTCTGTCACAAAAAAAATAACAATTTCATATGGGTACAGTGTTGCATAACCACGCAATTGTCATTCAAAGTGCAACAGTGCTGAAAACTGGAATTGGCCTGGGCAGGAAGGGGGTATAAGTGCCCTGTAGGCTAATGGTTAATTTGGTTGTTTTTGACGCATTTTCTGAAAGTCCACCAAAATCCCTGCATGCTGTATCTTTGGTGTGCTTTCACCAAAAACGGCCAATCTAAACGAAGTCGATGGGAAAAAGCAGAAAACCACTGTGCTGCACCCACGCTGCGGGGAAACCACACCGGGGCAGTGTGAACGGGGCCTAAGGTGACTTGTCATGTTTCACATGACTGTCATATGCCTTTTAAGTGTTCTTTGTATTTTGTCTCTGCTCTTCCCTTTCTTCTGGTTTATTTCTGCTGTATAGATAGCCCCACCCTTTTATTAATTTCCCAGTAATGCATTGCAGCTTCTAGCCTCATGTCATGAAGCAGGTCACATTATGATCTTTTGACCTATCCGATGTTCATTGTTGTAAGATTCTCTGTTTATGGAATAAACTTCACAGGATCTACAAGATATCATCTGAATTGAGTCACTGCCTGTGTTATTCAACTAAGATTGGAGTTATCGCTATCTCATCACAACTGTAAATTACAGAGATCACAATTTCAATGCTTAGATTGGAGAGATAGAACATGACTGCTCAGAAACATCTCTGTTCTGCTCAAAGGTGAGATCTGAATATGAATGGACTTACAGTTTATTGGTAAGTTTCAGTCCGCACGCACATTGGACGTTTTGATAACGCTGGTAACATTAGCTGTGTAAAGTCACGTTGAAAAGTGAGGTTTTTCAGGGTTTTTTTTTTAAGCGTTTAGTGGCATTTTGCCACGTTTACATGCGATTTTTTTTTTTTTTAGTCCAAACCCGCCAGTTTGCTGTGTTTTTCAGCATTAGAGCGTTTTTACAGCTAAAAAACTCCTCTAGAAACCCACTAGTGCCGTTTTCTTTTTCCAGCCAAAAACACGTTGATTACAGTCTATGTGTGCATGGATGCATAGGATAACATGCTGGGGGGTTTACTAGCTGTAGAAAAAAACGTCAAAAGCCAAAAACAGCAGCTGTAAAAACAAGTGTGCATGAGGACTCACTGAGGTCACATTTTTATAAATTAACAAAAATAAATTGGGGAATATATCCTCACTATACATTTTAAAATGTATCTAACCCAAAAACAAAAATTAATAAATTGCAGGTTACCTGTCCTTGGATGCGACAGCTGCATTAAAAATGCTCTGGAACGCATGCAGAAGTGCATCCGGAATGCATCTGGACTGCGTTTCTATAGTGTGAACTGGCCCACTTAGTTCACTTTTAGAAGCTCAACACCACCAAAAATCATTAGGGTGTTTTCACACTGTTCTGTTGAAAAAGTATGTTAAAAACCAGGGGCATCCCTAGGGTTGGTGTCACCCTCTCCGACGATCCCTGCAGGATGGATCGGATCTGCGGACTCAGCATAATGGATCTGACTCCAATCCATTATGCTCAATCCACAGATCCGATCCATCCTGCGGGGATCATCGGCTTGCTTTACAACTTACCTTTTCTTGGCGTGGGTCCGGTGTCACCCAGTAGAGCACGCACCCCCCGCATTTGCCTAGAGACGCCCCTGTTAAAAACACATAAGCACATCCAGCATGCAGGACATTTCAAAATGCACTGCACTCCTAGTGCATTGGTGCGAGGAGTCCCATAGGATTTAAAAGGAAATATTATTATTGTGTTTTTAGCAAGGTAAAAACACATCAGTATGAAAGGGCCCTAATGGTTCAAGTGTTAGAAATTTAGTCAAGTGTGAACAAGCTCTAACTCTTACGGAACGCTCCTATAGCTTTAGTATAGGCATGAGACAGGCGTTACTGAGCTTTAGTATGGGCGTTAGACAGGCATTAACCTCCCTAGCGGTCTGATTATGTCCATATTTCTGTGCTCATAGCTGTACATTTTTTTTTTGCATGGAAATATGTATTTTTTTTTTTTATTGTAGGCTGTAATTTTTAGGAGTAACTCACTGAAATCTGTCCGAACAAGAGTCTAGTAAACATCCCGGGTATGTTAAATTTGAAACACTAAATAAATTATAATTTAATAATCATAAAAAATAATATTAATAATAAATTTAATTCAATAATATAATCAAACCAAAAACACTGAAATTTGAAATAGAAGCGCCAAGTTCGCACATCACTGAGCAAAGTCGCAAAATCGTTTTCAGTGTCTGATGACAAATTTCCCCACAAATCATTATCACTCAATTCTGCAAGTGGTTCTGATTTACTATCGCTGTTCTCTAGCGTTCTAAAACCGATTTTGACCTAAAGGGCGCTTTTTGGACACCATGGACGTTTCTCAGTTTCCAGGCAGAAAGAACAGTAAAAATGCAGGCAGGGCACAGGACAAAGCAGTAGGGACAAAAATGTATGTGAAATGGTTTGGTACAGTAATGTTTTACTATGTGATTTTAGTGAATGTCACTTTTTGTCATTTTCAAATTTCCCGCCGTTCCGTCCCCCATACATCCTGATGCTCGCAGAGGACGGAACCCAGATGACAGATGCCGGCATTGCCGGATTACATTGCTGGGGACACTGCAGGAGGGACATCGCGGGAGCGCAGGACAAGGTAAGTGACCGAGGGATCGTGGAGCAGCGCCGCAGGGTAAGCCCGAGTGTAGCTCGGGGTTACCGCTTTTGGTACTGAAACTTTACCCCGAGCTACACTCGGGAATACCGCCAGGGAGGTTAATGAGCTTTAGGCCTAGTTCACACTGGCTTTGAAAGCAGGCGTTTGAGAGGTGTTTTTTTCAAACACCTATGCAAATTATACTATGGGCAGCACACAATGCTGTTCACATTATGAAAACACGATGCGTTAGCATCGCATTGCTTCATGTCCAGTCAGGAGTAGTTTGAAGCCTTTCAACACCCCCCATTCAAGTATATAGTGACACTCCCCAAACGCACTGGGCGTTCGTGAGGCATTTGCTGTGCGGTTGTGGAGCATTAATAACATTACAGTTTATTTAGTTATGGTGTGGTTTTAAACTCTTCGCAAATGCTTATAAAACTGGTGAGCATTTTTAACGCTTCTAAAAAGCCAAAACCCAGGACCCTGCATTCTTTGTATCTGGTCTCCCACAGTACACAGAACATGGAAGTGCAAATATTTTAGTAAATATAAACTGCTAAATACCTTTTTTCATCAGCAGCTGGAGCAGTCTTGTGACTTCTATCAGTGTCCAGCAAAGCACAGGCGGTTTCATTTTGCTCTAGGAGGATGAAGAACCCCTGACTTCTGTCAGGACAGCGCTGATTGGCCCTGTGCTGATCAAATGCACTCTTCCAAGAAAAAAAATCTCTCTAGCAATACACACCAATCTGAGCATGTGCAAAATGACTCCAGGTGACATGTTTAACAGGAGATAAGAGGGGACAGTGGAAGGGGAGGATCAGAGAAGGTCAGGATCAAACAGCGGTTTTACACAATGCAGGGGATTAACCCCTTAGTTTCCACAGTGAGTATAACAAGCATGCTTTACTGCATATACAGACTGATTTTACTGTTATGGGTTTAATAACACTTTCAGAGTGGCAAGTTACGTCTACACTGGTGGAACATGTGGCTCCTTATGGTGAAAGTTACACAAGTAGCATATGATAACTTGCTCCAAATGTGTGTTCTTAATTACTACGAGGGTTAACTTACACCATAAGTAAGCCGTTTGTTCTATTTGCATAGCAATCACCACTTATAGTAATACCTAGCATGACCGAGCTACAAAAAAAAAAATGCTGGTGTACTCCTACCTCTACCTTCTGTATCGACACAACCTTTCCATGATGCATGTTGGGATTGTTTGTAAATGCCTAGTTGATCCTGATCTTGTACTGTACTTCCAATTCAGAGTGGCAATGGAATAGCGGCCGATTCTTGTTTCTGATCTAGTTCCCATGTGGGACAATATGCTCCTCTGCCCCTCATTGGTGTGAACCGGCTCTTAAACAAAATCCAACATGTATATATCTTTTCAGCTGCCTATACCTCTGGATCTAATAAACACCATGTAGTTTTCACAAAATAACCCCTGCCTACATCAATTTAGATTGCCCGGGTTTTGACTGAAACTTCAAAAGAAAGAGTAGATTCTTTTATGGAAGGATGGCAACCTTACCTTTTATAATTAAAGTATAAGTTCACCTTATGTAAGAGATAAATAAATGCACAAGATTTTACAGACTGTAAAGCATTGCACACATGATCAATGGATCGCAGGTGCACTGTCAGGCTCCTGCAGACACCCACGGCCCCTTTTACACGGGTGTTCCATTTTTCCGGTTTCCCAATTTTTCGTTTTTCATCCATCTGTTGACAGATGAAAGACGGACAGCAATGCATCCCTATGGGCAAATTAAAGTAAACAGACGTCATCCGTTTACATCCATCACTTCTATTAAGGTCCATTTTTATGTAACCCTAACAAGTCTGTATTTTTGTTCTATTTAAATAACAGAAGCAGATGAAAAACTGATGTAAAACGGAAGATGGATAAACGGATGTGAACTAAATCCATTTTTTCTTCGCAAAAACGTGACTGAACAGATCACACCCGTGTAAAAGGAACCTATAGCTGTCTACCTGTACCTGTATATGGCCAGACAACTACTGAATTGCAGGAAGATCAATGAACTACACAAGCACTCACCAACACTGTCACAGCTCATTGAGAAGAGCAAGCCATCGTCCATGGTGGTAGACAGTACTTGTAGTTCATTCATTCAATGATATCTATCAATCAAAGGCGCAGCTCTGTGGGCGGAGCATGGCAAAGCTGTGCTGGTTTTACATTGTGACAGCAGGTGTGGGGAAAGGAACCCCTGCCCACTGTCACAGCGGGGGGTCAGGAGAAATGCAGGGACTGGAGCACAGTAACATTTCATCTTATATACAGGTGTAACATGTTACAAAAGGTGAACCTGTCCTTTGAGTTGAAGGTTTTTTCTTTGTCATAAGCAGACCAAAAGAAAAAAAGAGGATTGTCCACTATACTGAGAATAGGGATCTATTCAGACCATCTTTATGTAATTTGGAACTGGAATATTTTAGTGCAAAATTATAAAACCGGACCCAAGCAAAACATTATCTGTTCAGCTGTTTATATCCCATAGTCAATTTTAGGATAATCCCATGGGATCGTGTAGCAAGCAAGCCAAGTAGCAACAGATTATCCAGGCTCGATCCACCTGTGCTTCCATATTCTGCGGATATACACACTTTAAAAATCGGAAGTTTAATGCTTTGTCTATGAGGCTCAGCAGACTGAGAACCTGTCTGCTCATTTCCTGCTGCTGGTGGGTCAGCTGGACTGGAGAATTTTGCATAAAATTTGGAAAGTGCAACAGTGGGCTAATTCCACCAACTATTTCTTCAAGTGGTTGTCCATCCATAACCTTGGTAGCTATTCCAAATGGTAAGCTAGATGAAAACGTGATGAATCCATTGGAAGAAGCAATGGCGTAACCTCGCCTTAAATAATGGTTTCTGGAGGGGTGTGTAGAAGATGGCTTAGTGCGGTCCTTGGCCTGGACTTCAAAGAACAGATCTGTACAGTCCATAACAGTACAGTTGAGTCCTTGATACTGTACTGTTCTCTTGGGTTCAAAGAGCTCTAGGTATCTGGCACTGTATAGGATGGGTATCTAGAAGGGGGAATAAACAATTGTGAACAAATTGCAGATATACAATAAACCAATCATCAGCTGTCTAGTCCATAGTTTTTATAAACATGCAAATCACAAGAACAATTGAAAATGTGAGTCCTCATTCATACGGTAAGGGAAAAGGAAGGGCGTCAGGGATGAAGTGGGAGTTTGATGAAACAACATTGGCATCTTCATACAATAATGCGAACATTTAAAAAAAATCCCATCAACCAGAATTCAGTATAAATTTTGCCATATTTGTGAAAGCTGAATTCCAGCTGACACACTGCCATATTAAAGTTACCTTGCAGTGAGAATAATATGTAGACTGCAGTTGCTCACCTCTCCTTGGAAAAGGCTAGTTATCTGGCTGTCACGTATAATACAAGCAGTGTTCTGATTTCACTGGCAGAGTGCTCATTTTGGGTCATTGACTCAAATGATTGAAGCCAGAGACAGCCAGGCAAGTAGCAGTTTCAAAAGAAGGTCCTCCGTAGTAACTTAGGTTTCTCAGTATAGGTATAAATAATATAAACCTTTTTTGGCCTCTTATTTTATTTACTGTATTAGTTATTTTCACAGTTATAGGTTTTGAAACTTCTAATTTAAAGTGGGATTTTAACATATGACTGGGCCTTCTGGGAAGGGCTAAGCTATCAAATGTGTGTAAATTTCAGTTTGAGCTACTGTGTTCTGTAACAATATAAACAGGAGCCATGCGCTGTGTAGTTTTGTAATTATGTAAAACACCTTATATAGAGGTGTGCCTTCAATGACAATTTATATGATAAACCACCAGCCTGTGGCTTTAAGAAGCCAGGTTCCAAGATGGATGGCACGTCCGCTCAGAGGGAAGCAGTGGAGAGTTGAATGCCTGTCAATGCAGGGACCACGTGTATCCGGCGTCCCGGGTGACGTCACTCTCCACATCGCAGTGACGTCACCAGGGATGCCGGATACACGTGGTCCCTGTGTTTTTACCATGTCAGCAATGAGTTTTCCCCACTAATCATAGTTGACATTTACCATTCACTTATTTTCTTTGGGACACATCTGTGCACATTTATCCAGAATGTGTCCTGTAACAGGCTTTTTTTTTTTTTCAACAGGGTGTAAAGAGTTTGATAAAAATATGTGAAAAGGAAATTGAGGAGCTAATCACTGTGTGGCTTTGCCTTTCACTGTCTGCAGTCTTTAAACAGGCTGTGGCAGATCTGTGACCACCTGGGCTCAGAAGAAGTATATTAAATAATGCTGGCCTGACATCTAGTGGCAAATTAAAGTATTGTGTGGGAAATCTCTGGACCAAACATGAATATGGCAGCCAACACTGGGTCTCTTATTTTGTGTTTTAATGGGCTATTTACTTGTTTTTAGCAAAAGTCCTGATTTAGGCTAGGTTCCCATATATACGGCTGTGCGAACTGTGGTTTGTGCAGGCACAGGAAGCCATTCATTTGAATGAGCTACCATGGCTCATGAAACGCAGGGAAAAGGTCCCTGAACCATTTTTGAAAGAAAAAAAAAAAAAACGCAGCCCACATAGGAACTAGGAAGTACAGTATAATTCCCAGTGTGGTTGCAATTTTCAGTGCATCTCCTGCTTTTCACCATGCAGGTGGTTGCGGCTGCGGGAACAGGTGCGGGTTCTAGCCTCTCGCACCAATTTATTTAAAACTACAAAATTGGCTTTAGATACATTTTAGGATGATTATGAATATGAAGAAATAATGGGTGGCAGACAGCAGCACAGTTTAAAATATGGCAGCAGATTTTCCTGCTGTTGGGTAACGATCCCTTTTATACAAATACTGGAACAAGTGACATGTAAATGGAGTAAAGTGCATTGAACATATTTATAACCCTTAGTCCCCATGCACATTGGACGTTTTGTTGGCAATGACTGTTTTGTCACGTTAAAAACGTGAGTTTTTGGCAATTTTTGCATTAGCGTTTAGCGTGTTTACCCGCGTTTGCTTTTTTGCAGGGGTTTTTTGTCAAAAAACGTCAGAAAACAACGTGTTTTTTCATCTTAGAGTGTTT